CACACACACACACACACACACACCACCTCCACCACCACAGATGGAAGTTTTTTTTGTATGCATCATCTCAAAAGCATTGACATTCTTATAGCTAAGCAAATGAACTTAAAATGTACTGCCATGCTTATTGTGGTTGATTTTCGATCCCTCAGAGCTCTAAACTAGTGAATGAGCGGTTGCTGCTGGAGTGGGACATTCCTGCCATAAACGGGATCATCCACATCATTGAGGCCCCGCTGACAGCACCTCCCCCACCGGTGAGTAAGGATGATTTAATGCAGAACAGCTGACGCCTGCAGCATCAGCTGCTCAGCACGCCTGCACACTTGTGAACGGGCATGTGTCACATGTTCACGTGACGTCAGCTTTCCACACAATGCCAAAAAATCTGCTTCGTTAACTATCGTATGGTGAAAATGGAAAGCTCATATTTAAGGTTGCTAACTTGTCTTCTCAAACTAAACCCACACAGGGAACTGTATACAGCGAGAGCTGTGTATGATGGAAAGTAAGGAGTAAGCAAGGATTAATAAGTCATCAGCTTTTGTTTAATTAAACTAAACAAAAATATACATATAAACGTATTTCCTTCACAACATTAAAACTGAATTAACTACTAGATGAAAATCAGGTGCCAAATTAAAAACTTTAATCACAAAGCCTTTTTAAGGAGGCAATTAAAAAATTCCCTTTTGGTTGTCAGGACAAAAGTCTATGCCACTTTGGATTTTTCCTTCGGCTTTTGAAAAGACTTCAAAGGATTCACACGTTGGCTGATGTGATCTTTTATGACTTTAATTACAGAGTGTGTGAATGACTTTCAAGTTAGGCCATGTCCACACTAAATACGTTTTCGTTTGAAAATGCATCTTTTTCTCTCCATTTTGGCCTTCCGTCCACACTGAGACGGTCTCAGTGTGGACAGCGAAAACTGAGACCTTTTGAAAACAATGACACATTTTAGTCATGTGATGCACTCAAGTGACCAATTAAACTAAGATAGTGGAGGGCATTATACAGCAGTTGTTTTGTTTGCTCTGAATTTTGACAGCCCTATTAAAGATTAATATCAGTCTGTACATGCTCCACATAGCTTTTCTTCAAATTCTTTAATTCTCACTCACTTTTGCAACTTTGTACTTTTGTGTTACTCGCAGCAATAACTCCACCTCATTGTTAGTCCATTTAAAAAACTCAGTGGTTTCCTCAACATTTTGCCGCAACGTTTCAAAGAGCTGGAAAGTAAATAAACAGCAGACAGAAATGAGGCAGTTTGAATCGTCTTGCGTCTCATGCATGCGCAGTACTGGAACATAAGCGTTTGCGGCTTTTTCAATGTGGATGAACAACAATGTGAAAACGATAGTGTGGACGCAGAGTGTTTTCAGACGTATACACCTATTTCAAATTTATCGGGGCTGGTGTAGACGTAGCCTCAGTGACTTTCAAGATCACCATGAAATGCACCAGGGCAGGGTCAGAAACCTCCTAAAATGGGGATGATGGATGTAAAAAAATTTTCTCTCAAAGCTTTGAGGAGCCACAGCTCAGGAGCTCGTGAGCAGCATGCCAAGGGTTGCTGTCCTCTGTGCTAGGCGTTAAATACCTGAGACAGTTTTCCTTTCAGAAAATTAAGCACAACTGTTTTAAATTGGGGTGCTGTGCAATTGATGGAATAAGTGTGAGTTGGTGGTAGCATCGTTAAAATCTTAGCTTAAACATGCTAAGATTGTTTAGGTCTTAGAACTGAAAATATCATTCATCTAGGCAGCACGGTGGCACAGTGGTTAGCACTGTTGC